GATACGTCTTCCCTGGTATATAATTATTACATAGCGTATGACATTATAATTTTTCTGGTTTCTTTCCTGATGGGCTCTAACGTTCTCTGTGAGTATTCCTTTTAAAACTTTAGCTTGACTATGAATACAGTTATGGACACTGACTCAAGTGTAAATCATTTACTTAATATAACTTTCTAAAATGTTCAGAAATTCTAATTAGCAGTTGGCCATCATACCTACATCTCAGTTCGTTAGAATTATAGGGGTCATTATCTGCAGACAAGTCAGTCGCTGTGTAGACTTGGTGCATCTTGGGTAATTTCTCTCCTGTGTCTGATTCAAATTTGAAAACAAAACAAAACAATGCCATGATAAAAGACTACCTTTTAGGTAAAGATTTTCTTATTTCTTTTCCTTCTTTTTTAAATTTTTCTTGCCAGAAAATTACAATTCCTTGACTGTTATGTTTTGGCATCCACTGATTTGAGTTGGGGAACTTGCTAAACATTGCAGGTAAAAAAGAAAATTACTTTCTACCTCAAGGTTTCCAAGTTTCTGGCTGAAATCTAAAAAATATATCTCTTGGCTCTATCTCTGGGCAAAGGTGTTTTGCTAACATTTCTTCTCTTTTTTCCTGACCATTTTCTTCATTGTTAACATACTCTATCCATCATTTCACCCCCTCTAGTCTTAGGGTATAAATCAAGATCTATAAAATTGTTCAATAAAAGAATTTAATTGCCCTAGAGGAAAAGGGGACTTTTCTTTCTTGAAATCCAGGGGGAAATGGGAAGTAATAAAGCTGATGTCAGGAATATTTTTAAAAGAAAAAATGAAATATATACCCTTAAAAATTAATTCATATGGATGTTTATTTTCCTTCAAAATTTACTGGCCAAAATGATAAAAGAAAATATGAGCAGATTCAAAGTAAGTGAAATGCTGTAATCAGACGTGGTTGAGATTTGGCATTTTATATTTGTATCTTTTGGAAAGACTTCTTGTAAGACTCTCTGGCATTTTGGTGTATATCCAAGAGATATTATGATTTATATGTTCATCCATAATCATTCAGAAAGGAGCCAAGTATTGTCTCAAAAGTAAGCTTAGCTGGATTTTCTTCCCAAGCCCATTTATGTACAGACATGAAAAGATCAGATAGACCATCCAAATTAAGATGATCCATATCAGAATGAGACTCTCAAACTTTTTTCTGAAATGTTGATTTTCATTGTCCATTTTTATAGGCTTACAAAATTAGTCTTTTTTTTAATAGCTTTTTTCAAGTACATGTTGTCTGCCTTAAAAACAGAACCAATAACATAACTTTTATAACAAAAGCAGCATGATATCTATATGTTGCATAATATATTTTCATTATGTTTTCACATGCAATGACTTTTATGTCTAGTTGAACATTGTTAGCATTGATATTTACACTTTTTTCTAATTAGGTAGAAATGTGTCGGTCATTATAGAGATGAATTTCAGGTAGAGAGCTGGTCTTTACAGGCCTTTATATGTCCTTGTTAGAAGGTGGACGAGAGACAGTAAAGTATCCCCCAAACTGAGAAAGCATGGTGAAAACAGAAAATGAAGGAGACCACTCCATATAGTTCACACAAAATTTTATTCAGGGTAATTTATCGATGGGGGGGTAGGGCAGGCAATGATCCATGGCAGCGGTATAGTTATTCTCTGCAAAATCCAGACCTTAGTGCACAGATTATATAGAGGGGACACGCAGAAGGTCATTGTCATGAGATTCATATGCACCTCCAAGGGCTTGCATGCCCCTAACTGACAGCTAACTTTTAATTAGATCTTGGGCATCACCTGTGCATCAGGAAGGGGAAAGACTATGTTATCTCTAACAGATTCATGGGAGGCCAAAATAAGCTTCCCCTAATCCCAGCCTCAGTGGGCATTTCTAAGGTATGTATATTAATCTCCAAGGGGGCCAGAACACATAGCCCTAAGAGAGCTCACTGAACAAACATGAATACAATGGAGGGCCAAAGATGGGAGTCTGTATTGTCTGCGTTCCTACAGTCCTCTACAGTAATGAGATGAGCTGGCTTCTTGTCCTAGTTCTGACGTCACATCCATGTGACTTTGAGTAAGTCATTATCCTCCTTGAGCCATTGTTTCCTCCTAACTAAAAGGAGTTAATAATTTTGTCTCTTGCAGGATTATGAGGAGTAAATGGGGGTGCGGGATATAAGAAAGGGCATGATAAAACAGATGAAAATGAAAGTAAGCACTGCATAAGACCTTCAGCTTGAGCATCCTGAAGGACCTCAAGGAAAAAATGAGCTGCTAGGAGGCACACCTACATGGATGGCAAGATATTGTACAGCCAGTTATTTTGATTAAAAAGTGAAAAGCAGGGATCCTGCTGCAAAACTTCCCAGAAGATATTGCATTTATGTGAATGGTGGCTCCTGGAGCTGTAAAATATTCATGGTGTTTTCTTGTGGATAATGTCATCTACATACTCAAGAATCAAAGATTCTTGGTTTTCTTACTGGGAGTGTGGCCACTGACAGAGCCTGGAAACTCTTCTAAACACATTTATTCAATTTTATCATGTGTTACTATAAGCCAACAGCTGGTCTATAAACTTAGGCTGGTGAGAAAAACAATAGATCAAACACTTGTTTTTTAAAAATTGTGGCATTTTTTTGATTTAGTTGGGACAGAAACTTGTTTGAGATTATGAAGGAAGTCCAAAGACACTAACTTAATCTTTGCAGTTTTGTATCTTAAACATTTTGGCTATTAAATCTACCTAATCAAGACCTACTTCTTTCCAACCAAAGACCCTGAGTAGACGTTTGAGGCAAAGATGGAACTTAGAAAATGAGCTTTCTAAAATGTAGGTTAAGAAATTGATGGTTTGAAAATGTATCTCAAGTTCTACCTGTTGAATAGAACCGTTTTCACCACCATGCTTTGTATCTTGGCTGAAGTATTTTTCTCAACAATTCACTAAAAACAATCACGATGGTTCAGTCAGTTATTCCTATTTTAGGAGTATTTGCCCAAAAGAAATCTTTTTAGAAATTACTTCTATTTCATCAGAGATGAACACCCAGGTGGCACTAGACACAATAGACATAAGACGAGATGTTAATTCATCCACATCTTGAGGATGAATATTAATTACCTTGCTTGCAAAACAAGGAGAGGGAACTACACAATGTCTTAGTGTATTTGGAGATAAGGTTAGTCAAAGTTTGAGCCTTTATGTGACCAGAGATGGCATAATTATGTCTCACAGATGGTCTGATAGACAAATAATTGAGACAGAAGGAAACTGGTCACCTGTGTTGTCTGGCCTTGAAGTAAATGCTTGAAGGAAATTGCTTACAAACTGTTGAGACTCAGATGTATTGGGTACCTCCAATGCATGTATCTTGTTATTCCCTCAAGAGTACCATCGATTGCTAGCTCTTTGGGAATAGTCTATGGATTTTCAAAATGTCATTGTAAATTTATAATAGATAATGAACCATACAGGATTACTCTAAAGTAGTATGGCTAAACTTATGTTTAAACATGGCAGAAAAACATCAAAAGGACACATAATTTGTTTAAGGTTATCTACCCAGGACAGCATTTCTGGATCCTACTTTGCCTTTTGGCCCACTGCTCAGTGTTAGGGTGTGAGATAGCAGGTCACAATAATCCTAATCTTCATCTTGTCAATTTCTCTAATCAAACGGAGAAATATCTATCTCAAGCATACCCAAAGAGAACATTCAGGATGCTCTTGTACAGACATTAAAAAAAAACAAGTCAACCTAGAAAAAGAATACATCAACCATTTGACTGCCATAAATCTAAAACCCTGGCATATTTTATAGGTGTTACCTTTTTCTTGCTGTAAGTAATGCAGGAGTTCTCAACCAGAGGTGATTTTTTTTATCCCCCCAGGGGACATGTGACAACATCTGGAGACATTTGCGGTTGTCACAACTGGGGTCAGAGGTAACAGCTGACAACTGTCAGGTAGAAGCCAGGCATGCTGCTGAACATCCTTTAACACACACAAGAGCCCCATAACAAAGAATTATCCAACCTGAAATGTCAATAATGTCATGGTCCGGTGACGTCTTGCCTTCATGTTGACCTAAGCCGGTTTTCCAATAGAAATGACTATGTCATGCAAAAGATATAGTCACTCTCACCTTCTTAGGATGAGGGATTCAAAGGAACATGGGACGGAAACACCACGAGGATGAAAGCTACAGCATAGGGAATACCGTCCATGGTATTCTAGCCTTGTAAGGTGACCAACTGTCGCTACATCTGTGGTGAGCGCACAATGTATAGAGATGTGAAATCACTATGTTGTACACTCAAAACTAAGGTAACAATGTCAACTATACTTCAACTAAAAAAAATAAATACAAAGAGATTTTTAAAAAGGAACATGTTGAGGTGCTTTTCCCCCGGATGCTCACAAGAACGTTTTCTTCTACATGGTATTAAAGCCATTCCACTAACCATACAGCTGCCTCTTGCCTCTCCAAGAGTAAAACACAGCTCTAGCGCGTGATGTCTTTATTGTCCTAAAGGTCAGGAAGACCTTGGTGACCTCTTTGGTGATCTCTTTGAAAGGAAACAAATATATGCTTTGTAACAACAAGTATATTTAGCGGCTTCATAAACCTAACAGAACAGTCAAAAATAATACTTTATATCTACTATCTATTTACATTTAAGCACTCTCTGAAAACAAAAGTAAGAAGGGTTGGGTTGGCTTTCAGCTGATAACTGTCATTTTAAGACTTCTGGCAACACTAGGATCCTTCTAATTACAGTCGAATGATTTAATTTATCTTATACTTTTAAATTTTGGTCAAGAGTAGGTATTAAGCATTTTGTAACTGTTTTGGGAATTTGAAAGGTTATTAAGTTCTGAATAACAGAGTCTCTCATGTTTTCCCACCAAACTTTTCCCAGCAGTGAGTATATCTGGATCTTATTCTGGTTTTTTATTCTTTTTTTAGCTTCCTGAAATGACTCATGTTCAAACACGGCGACCCTGGTTGATGTTTCTCCTGCAGAACTTTGGATTGACCCTAGGTTGGCTTTCTCTCTTACTGTTGGCTATATATGAACAAAATATTAAAATATAAGTTAAAGAGTATCAAAATCCTTCAAAAGCGAATTTATACGGCTTAATTTTGTTTCTTTTGTTGTACTCTAGAGTGGCTGGTAAATTAAGCATTTTTATCTTCGAGGAAGGGTGTGTGTTATTTAGTTCATTAACTTATTAATTTTATGATGCACTTTTGTCTTAGGATATAAATGTCAGGTTGTCCTCAATTAAAATTTTGGTATCAGTACCCAGCACCATGATGGAACTCCTATCTTTTTGAGTAATTAGCAAATTCTAAATTAATGCTGGTAAACTTTCAAACAATATTGTTTTGCTAACAAAGAATGTTTGTAGTGTTTGAAGTGGACAGACGCCTGCTGGGATCAAATCGGCGGCAACTTCTTTGATGTCAATAATATTTTTCTTCTTGTAAGACGAGAAACCATAAGCAAAATAAATTACAAATAAATGTAATAAAGTCTCGTGTTAATGTGATGATTTGTATGACCTTCTCTTACTGGGTGTCAGATTCTGAGTCAATTCTTGGAAAACCAATATAACAGTTCACCTGGAAGCATTACCCACTGGCTCATAAATGCTTATAAATCAGCAAATTCAGGAAGCCTAAAGGATAATAGATCGGCATTCTTTCTAATCACCAAATAAAATCTGTTCTAGGTAAGGAGAAATGGAAACAAAAAGGGAAGTTAAGAATTTTTTTAAATTCATAAAGCTAGAGTCATAGCTCTCACAATTTCCACAGACTGCGCCTATGGATACAATATTAGTGATGATGCGATATAGTTTATATTTTCTTGAGTAAACCTAAATGTTATTTCAGTAGGTAAGTTCGTGAAATGTGCAAGCTGCAGTACTGATAACCCAGAAAAATTATTAAAATAGAAAATATCCTGGCTTTAGTTATTTTTCTTGGAAAACAGAGGCCTAATATTTTTATTTTCTTATTGATATATCTTGACAAGGGAAAAGGCCCATTTTACTGTCAAAATGACTCATGGCACTCGATCAAATACGTCTCTTCTGCTTCTTTCTTACCGGTACACATACTCTTTGCCATGTCCCACACAAGCACCATCTTTTTCAACCACCTTTATTTGATTTCAAAATGAGGCTGGTTTCTTCTTCAGTGGTCTTTAGAGCTTGATTTAAGGGGGCCTCATGATAAAGTGCAGTAGTTCACAGACGTTGGCCTACATTAAGATCAACTGGAGGATTTATTCAAACATGGAATGTTCGTCTCCATACGGAGAGTTTCTCATTCTGAAGGTCTGGGCAGGGTTTGAGACTTTGATTTTGAACGACCTCCAGGTGATACCGAGGCTGCTGGTCGGCGGGGTGGGGCCCTTTGAGCTCCACTGGTGTGTAGAAGTCAGGCACACCTGGTTTCAAGAAAGAGCAGGTGCACGACTCTGTTGCCCAAATGCTGTGTGATTCTAATTAAGTTGATTAACACCGCAAACCTCATGCCAGACCAGCGTTCCTAGGTTGAAACTCCTTTCCCTTTGCGTCCTTGCCTGGGAGCATCGGATCAGTTACCGGATGAGGAGTCCACAGGGAGGCACTTTTATTTAGATTTGCCTTAAAGGTAAGCAGACCTGACATCGAGTTTTGCCCTTTTTTTGTTAAAGAACCTAATAATTTGGGCGCCTGGGTGGCTCAGTTGGTTAAGCGGCTGCCTTCGGCTCAGGTCATGATCCTGGAGTCCCGGGATCGAGTCCCGCATCAGGCTCCCTGCTCGGCAGGGAGTCTGCTTCTCCCTCTGACCCTCTCATGCTCTATCTCATTCTCTGTCTCAAATAAATAAATAAAATCTTTAAAAAAAAAAAAAGAACCTAATAATTTGGAGCTGAACAAAAGCACCTTTGTACAGGTCACCACGGCGTGGAGGTTGCATACGAGAAGCACCTGGCACCATCTGTGTTTTGGTTTCTATGACCAAGTTCTGATGTTGACATTAAGCCTTAATTTATGCCAATTTAATTAGGAAAGCTCTGATGGATGACTTTATTCAAAGTTCATGTTTACAGTGGTTTGGGGCCTCCTAAATTAAAATGTTCGATGTGAGCTACTCCATAACCTTCAAGTTAGAGTGAGTTTCATCCGACCTCTAGGATGAGGTCGTGGGCATGGGGTGGAGGGGATTGAAGGGAGCCACATGTTGGAATGAGTGGAGGGACATCCCCAGTAAGCATTTTGTAAGCCTACAACTAGTGCCCTGATTGTAAGCCATCAGTCCTGGCCATCAGAGGTCACCTGTAGGGTAACCTAAGAATGGTGTGATGTAATGGCTTCTGAGGGTACCTTTCTAGGCTCCCCACTCCTTCCTTCTGCTACCTTAGCTGGCTCTTCGCTAATCCACTGAGTAACCCAACAGCCTGAGATGGACCTCCAGCTACAAATAATCTTAGAATTGCTAGAAATTCTTTTTCCTCAAAGTTGAGTGGTAATGATAAAACTATTATGACAATTATTTGCCTTCTAAATATGGACAGAGCCTAAATTTAGAGTGGTTGAACTTCGTCATCCCGGTAAGTCATCTAAACCATGTGTTACAAGATTTGTCGTAATTGGTGTTTTCCTTGAAGCCAAATTTCTCAATAATGTTAGAGTATTTCTGTTTGCCAGGCCTAAATTTAGGATTCCACTGTATTTCTCCTTGGTGACTGATCTGTTTTGTAGTCACTGAGCTAGAAATGGTCCACGAGCAAAATCAAAGAGCCAATCACACAGAAATCTTACTTGGACAGCCATCACCCAGTGACAGCCATCTTTAGGGGAAGGGGAATTGGCACCATGTCGCTGTGACGCTAAGTGTGGGGCCAGGGAAGATGGGTCCAGTGCTGCGTACTTACCAGGATGAGCGTGTTCTATGTATGCACCTATAAATTATGGCCAATACCATTCCTCCCAGAACCCACACTTCGGGGGTGAGACTGTGCCTTTTTCTGTAAGACACACCTGTCAGGACACTGTACCTTTACCCTTTCCTTTCTCCTTCAAAGCTGGAGGGGCAGGGTTGTATCATGAGGCTAATCATCAGTAGGGTAGACTGGACTAATCAGGTTGGGACTCCTGTGTGATCATTAAAAAATCAGGCTTTACACTGGAATCTTGGTTCAAATCCCAGTGCTGCCATTTAATAGCCTTATAACTTCTTGGAACAAAAAATTTCCCTCTTCCTCTGCCCACAGAGAAAGATGCTTTGTCCAGCTGTAACCCACCTGGGCTCCCACCGATTCCCATCTGTACCCTTGGCTTCACTCAAAATTTTGCAAAGTATGTAGGACTTCTGTTTTCTGGGTTAGCTTGTCTCACTGACTCAGCATTCCCTTAAATATCAAGCAATGAAGAGTGCCCATAGACTCAGCCTACAGGATCACATAATGCTGGTGCCAGAACCAAAGACAAACATTTAATTCAACTCTTTGATTTTATAGGAGTGTTATAATGGCAAACGTATTTATAGCACTGTGTATATGTATAGCACAGACACTGTTAAAAGTGCTTTATGAGAGTCATTGAATTCTCTTAAGAACCCTGAGAATATAGGCCTAATACTATTTTCATGCCCCCTTTTACAGATGAACAAACTGAGGCCCAGAGAGGTCAGTTAACTTGCCCACGCTTACAGATCTAAGGTAGCCTGGCTCCAGAATCTGTGATCTTAATCCCTACATCACATGGCCTCTACAGAGGGGAAACTGAGGTTTGGAGAGTCTGAATGATTGCCTGAGCTCTTATCTCTCTGTAAAGGAGTTGACGTGGGACTTAATTCAGATCTGTGAATCTAGTCCAGCCACCTTAACAATCTCCAGCCCTCCCTGGTCCTGCCCAGTCAAACTCTTCACCTGCAAGACCTTAGTCATTTGAGGTTGCTTTTACTACCTAATTCATGTTCATTTCTCCCCATGAGGATTTGGAGTCTAGGCTGCAAGGGTTTTTTTTTTTAATTGAGATATAGCTGACGTATAACATTATATTTCAGAAGTACAACAAAATGACTTGATATTTGTATATATCATGAAATGTTTACCACAGTGAGTCTAGTTCACAATATCCATCACCACACATAGTTACAAATTTCTTTTCTTGTGAGAACTTTTAAGATCTACTCTCAGCAGCTTTCAGATATACAATACAGTATTATTGACTATAGTCACCATGCTGTGTGTTAACATCCCATGACTTACTGATTTCATAACTCGAAGTTTATACTTTTTGACACCTCCGTGTGTATCTCCCACCCCTATCCTCCTGCCTCTGGCAACCACCAATCCGTTCTCTGGACCTATATATTTGTTTTGGGATTTTTTCTTGTTTGTTTTTAAGATTCCACTTATCAGTGAGAATATACAGTATCTTTCTCTGACTTCTTTCACTTAGCTTAATGTCTGTCCTCAACTTCCACCATGTTGTCAAAGATGGCAGGATCTGGGGTGCTTGGGTGGTTCAGTCCGTTAAGCGTCTGCCTTTGGCTCAGGTCATGATCCCAGGGTACTGGGATGGAGCCTTGTGTCGGGCTTTCTGCTCAGCAGGGAGCCTGCTTCTCCCTCTCCCTCTACCTGGCGCTCTGTCTGCTTATGTGCTCTATCTCTCTCTCTCTGTCAAATAAATCAATAAATAAAATCTTTTTATAAAATGGCCAGATTTCCTTCTATTTATGGCTGTATAATATTCCATTTTTGTGTGTGTGTATAATGGAATATTATACGGAATATTAATATATATGTGGAGTATATATATTATATATATATAAAGGAATACTGATATATATATATGGTGATGTATACACCTCACATCACTACATGTATATCGATATCCCTTTATATATACAGTTCATGTCTAATACATATTATATGTATATATATACATATATATATGGAGGTATATATATCACCATATATAGGTATAAATATAAATCTCAAATTTTCTTTATCCATTCATCCATTGATGGACACTTAGGTTTCCATATCTTGTCTATTATAAATAATGCTGTGACAAAAACGGGGATGCAGATATCTTTTTGAGTTAGTGTTTTCATTTCTTCAGATAAATACCCAGAAGTGAATTGCTGGATCATAAGATCATAAGAAGTGTCTTTTTGGGGAATCTCCATACTGTTTCCCATAGTGGCTACACCAATTACATTCCCACCAGTAGAGCATGAGGGTTCCTTTTTTCTCCACATCCTCACCAACCCTTGTTATTTCTTGTCTTTTTGATACTAGCCATTCTGACTTATATGAGGTGATAGCTCAGTGCAGTTTTGATTTGTATTTCCTTGGTGATTAGTGATGTTGAGCATCTTTTCATACACCTATTGGCCATTTGGAAGTCTTACTTGAAAAATGTCTATTCAGGTCCTCTGCCTATTATTTAATTGGATTTTTTTGTTGGGGGGAGTTGTTTGTTTTACCATTGAGCTGTATGAGTTCTTCCTCTACTTTGGATATTAACCT